GATTCAACAATTCTATATGTATGTTTAATTTACATATAATTTGAAAATTAAATTAATAAACAATGTACATAAGATAGCCTCTATTGTTAGTTTTCTTTGCAATAAAGATTCAGTATTTAAGTATTTCAGTATTTAATCAGTCGAGCACATTTTTGTAAGAATTGTACTTTATTTTGAACGTTTACGAAGATGTCCGCTAGCGAACGCAGGGAACGTAGGATCTTGCCTGTAGGAATCACGGAAAAACGGTAGAGAACAAAGGAGAGAAAGAAACAAGGAGAGAGAGAGAGAGAGAGAGAAAGAGATAAAGATAGAGAATTCTCAGAATCCAGTAGCGCGCCCTTAGTCGCAGTGCTCGTGGGAGCCGCTATCGTTTCCGTCTCACCGAGGTTCACCGGCGGCGCGGCGCTCACTACGGGAGCCGCCGACAAGGGGGTTATTCCCCGGGGGTGGGTGAGATCGGTGAGGTGACTCGCGGAGGCGGGAGAGAAGGCGCACCAGACTCGTGGGACGCGGCGGCAGGGATCTCGTGGGTGAGAGGAAGCCGCGGAGAGGGAGGCCGGAGGGGGGGATGAGAGAAACGAAGGGACGGTGAAAGAACCGGGAGAAACGGATGGGGTGGCGTGCCAGAGGGGCGATGGAAAGGGGGAGAGGAGAGTGTGAGAGCAAGACGGGATGCGAGGAGGGGTCGGCAAGGGTGCGCGAGGGGTAGTGCAGTTTCGTGTTGGCATTACTCTTGATTTCCGTGGTGACGTCGCTACCTCGCCAGCAGCCCTCTCCCCCTCCCCCTCCGCGTTGCCACCCTTCTCCTCCGCCACTACCTTCGGCGGCCTCCAACCCTCTAACCTCCTCGCCTCCCGCTTCCGCGCCACCGTGTCTTCTGTTTTGCCATTTCAGCGCGCGAAGGCCACCCACCCCTCGTACTACAGTGAAAGAGCACCCAGACTATCTGAGAGAGATAGATCTTTCCGCGCGCGCTACCCTATATACCGTCCACACGGGTACGGACATATCGCGTTGGATGATATTTCTCCTTCTTTCTCGTCTTCCGGCCTCGACGTGACCGTTCGCCGACGACCGGCCTTGTCGAAGAAGGACGGGCAATTATGTCACGCCAAATATATTCCTTTTTTTTTCGCGGCGGCATCATCCCGATCACGTTACCGAAACAATAAAATATTAAGGATGTCTCGAGTTTTCGTCTGTGTTTAAGATTTAAACGAGAGAGAGAGAAAAAAAAAAAGAAATTCAGATCTCGAAATAAAAAAGGAAGAAGTATTGAATCTTACATTAATCATTTGACACATAGATTTTTATAAACATTATAAAACGTCTGAATGACAGTCGATGATGTCGCGATGGAAATTAAACTAATCGAATTCTGTTTAATACAGAATCCAAGAATTAAATCATTCGTTAATGTTTTATCGCGAGCTTCCCAATTATTCCCCAAATATTTTATTCTAGTTGAACATGTTCGCGATGAAAATAAAAGAGACTATTTTAACTTTTATAAAAACAATCGATACACCTCACGTACGGCTTTTATTGCCCTCGTCTGGTACCTTCTCCGTTGACGATGTCGACCACCGGCGAGAGAAAGCCGAGTGCGCTGCGGCCATTATATATCACGCGTAAAAATTCCTGCTTTACGAACGCGGGAAAGGGATAACCCATTCCCCGGGACTCCGTCCCGAGAAACAACGAAGGGTGGTAGGTATACGTACCTCCCTACCTACGAGCCGCTATCTCTTGTCCGCCAGCGTCGTTCGTTTTCCTAACGTCGTCGGCCGGAGAGGGCGGATGCGTACTATATGTGAAGCTCGTCTGTTTGTCTCTTTCTCGGTTTATGTACGGGCCTCCTGTTTTTAAATCGCAGCCGATGTACGACAATGTCGTCTGCGCGTTGTCTTATATGCACAGTGATTTTTTCATCTATCTAGATCAACGAGATTGATACTTTGATTGGGATAACACGTCGTAAATTCATATAATATACTTATTATCGAGTCAACATGATCTGAGAAAAATAGATGATATTTTTCGGCGATTTGTATTAAAAGATTGAAAAATAATGCTACGTATGAATAAAATTATTGAATGCAAAAGATTTGCAGATACTTGATCATATTCGGTGTTTTTCTTTATTTTTGCCATTGCTGCATTCATAAATTCATTGAATTGAGGTAGTAAATATATATCATGATATAACAAATTAGAGTTTATTCACTGTCAGATGTCAAAGATCTTGGAGAATGAGAGTTTCTTTTATGACAGTTTTATTAATAACTCTCAATTGACTTTGCACAGGAACGTTACAACTGCGACGAACGGAAATGTGAATATTTATCAAACTATCTCGTGATTAATGCTATCATGTATGCATATGATTATGAAAATATTGAAATATAGAAATTATGATAAAGCAATGTTCGTATGTATATGTGTGTGCGTATTATTTGAAGAAAGCATTGTTGGACAGAATGGTGATATACGTAATATTGTATATTTTAAGAAACAAAAAAAATCTTAATTGCTATAATGGCGCAATTTTTATGATTTCAAATCTTAGAATTAAATTTAAAATTTTAATTTAATTGCCACTTCAAACATCATGCGCAAAAAATTGATATACATTGAACCCTATTATCGTTGACTTATACTACTGATTTCAATTATATATGTTACGTGAGCGTTATTTGCCTCATTCCTTCTCGCGAAATATACCTCAATGTGCAAGTTGACAAGTTTATATTTCACGCTCCAAAAAGATTTAAAAAAAAAAAAAGAACAGGGCTTTTCGCCGGCAACAGAGTGGCAAATTCACACGGTTTTTCACTTATTTACCGAACCGATAAATAAAAAAAAAACTGCAGCACGGCGAGTGCATAAAACATTGAAAACGCTTGAAATCGATTGCGTTTCATTACATCGCCGCGAAACCACGTCACTCGGAGATTTTTTTACTTTCGCAAAGATACCGTTTTAGGTCGATTCGTGGGTTCGTTGACCCGTGAGAGATCAGTCGTCATCGGAGAGGTCCTGCAAGAGATATGTAAAATGCGACGCCGCTTTTCATCGTTATAAATAAAATGATTGGGAACAATTAATATATATTTAAAACACGGCACACAATATCCGCGGTGACGGTACCGCCGGTCCTTTTGGGCATCGACCCTGGAAAACAAATAACAAGAAGGGAGGGAAGAGAGCGGGAGGAAGAGGATAGGTCGCATAAATAGAAAAGATGAACTGCTGCTGTGAGTAGAGAGTTATAAATTTTACTACGGCAAGAAGAGCAGATATATTTTCATGATCAATTTGCGTGCACAAATTGTGATATCTCTTTACCACAGCGCGATATTCTTCCTTATACACGCGCGAGCACGGTATCAATACTTTATATACTTAATGACGATTAATAACTAAGGAATAAAACTTGTCACCGAGTAATTGATTCGGCTATAAATGAACTAGCTACACAAGGTTCAATGAATTCTGTACCAATCAGCTACTTCTAATCGTGGCATTTATTATCTACGTATGATATCCATTATCAAAATAAACTTTTCATGCGCTCGTGGATAGAGAGTAGCTTTTATATATTTTTGTCTTAATAATAAATGTAATTAAAGTCATTTGCAAACAATTTATATATGTAATTTTTGCCGCTCACAAATAAATATATATATTGTATATATTTTTTTTTCTTTTTACCTAAAAATTACTAAAACAATTTTTTATCCGACACTGTATAAATGTAATACCCCCGCTCGTAAAGGTTGATCATATGCTGGAAAATAAGATCTTTTTGCGATAGTTCGTGGATCTTGATCGAAAAGCAATCGAAAAATCCGAACTCGGGATGCCAATGGAAGGAGAATGATGCTAACGGGGGATGGTGGAAAGGGCGCTCAAGACAGGGGTGGGAGGAAAAGGGCGCAATATAGCCCCGCGATTGCCCAGTAAATATCGGGGCGAGGTTATAGCCGGCTCCGCGGCCCGTAAACCAAGACATTAAATTTTATAATATTGCGTCCCGTCTCTCGCATCCCGTCCCTCCTCGACGTCCCCTTCGTTTTGTGCCCCTCGCTCACCTTCTGGCCCCTTCCTATCATGTTGGCCGCCCACGTTGGCCCTCTCCTCGATCCATCCTTCTCTCGATGTTGCGTAAGCGCGCGAGCGCGCACGGCGTGCTTTTATTGGCTATTTACAGAGGAAATGGCCTCTAAATTAACTGCAGACTGCCGGATTGCTACCTATATCGAGCGGCCTCGTATAACGCCCTGTCGCTTGCACCCGTCAAGATCAAAATCGAAGTGACAGTGCATCGGGGAACGATTAATCGCGAGCGTCAAGATGTTGTAACCCTTTTTCCTCCCCTGCCAACAAATCTTACTCTGCGATTCCTTAACAGCGAATCGAGCCCGATTTTTAAATTTTGAGAAAGAAGATGAAAATGTTGCGTAACGATATCTCTACACGTTTGTATTCAATATTTAATCATCTGCGGGATTATTGAATTTGCAACTCTTTCTGGAAAATTTTTACGTAATCAGACAAATATTATTTTGAGAACTTTACACAAAATTTGGGTCAATCAAATAATTTTATTTTTTTAAATGAGAAAATATAAGATTGTAAAATACTCAATATTTCTATCGATGTTTTATATCGTTTTAAAAATAAACATATTATATTATATTATTATTATTTTAAGTTTTTATTATGCAAATTTATACTCATCTTTCAGATATTATACATATAAATTATTCTAACTTTAATATATACCACTATTCTTTTATTACTATATTTTTTGAAGTATTGTAATTGTAGGATGATCTAATTCTTGATAATTAAAGCTTAGCAAATTTAGGCAATCTGTATTTCTATACTATATATGTTACAATATTATTTATTTTTTCTTTTGGAAAAAATATATATTTTGTTAAAATATATATAATAAATAAATTGAAAACTAGCTGTAACAATGAATAAATGTGATTACAATATTTCTAAAAATAAAACACAATTCTACTACGATTTTAAATTTGCCGTTGCAAAATCATCAAAACATAGTATTTATCCAGTCATATATTGAGTGACAGAGATTTAAATCACATTGATTCATTTTTGACATCTAATTTCTTAGTAGTTATCAGGAGATAATGACTGCTAATTTTATTATTAAATAATCTTCTAACATTATATTTATTCTGATTAATAACTTAATTTTAATCTATAAATTCTCGCCAAAAATATCAAACCACGTAGAACTTATTCCTATGATCCAAATAATCTAACTATTCGCCGGTATTATTTTTTCTGCAAACTAAGGCTAAAGTTCCTTAAAACGATCAAAAAATATTTTATTTTTATAATATCATTTTATATATAAATTGCATACACTTTAAATACGATGTTAGTTACTTCAAACGCGTTTCAGCATCGATCCGCGTAAAATTTTCATCGACTCAAAGACGTTGATCGGTTCCGACTTGTGAGCGCCAAATAAATTTCATGTCTCAATTAATTTTTCGGGCACGTGTCGCCACGTGAACGCCGTCGGTCCCGCTGCTCGTCCTCTCTCTGTTCTTCGCTCGGCTTACAGCCGTCCTCTCTCCGTGGGCAAGGGCGTAATACAAACGCAAATATATTAAGTGTTGTCCGCGCTACGACTCTATTTATAATGCTTGTTTTATTCGCGACGGACACGCGATATGCATCTTTCATATGAAAATAAAACGATCAATGAAATTGTACCCGACAGGATGAGCGCATGATGAATGGTATAGCTGATATACCTGATAAATACATTGTTCCTTATCTCGTTTAGACACTGTGCTGCCGAGCACCTAGTAATAATCCGGAATAGGGTCAGCTAATAATGCTAGTTGATTAATGGGATAATTAAATTAATAGCTTAATTGTGAAAACATGATGGCGAAGAATTTATAAGCTGTGCAACAAGTACAATGTTCTCACTTTGCCCGTTTAATATTAAACATGCCAACTATGTATTATGATTGTGATTGCACCAATACCAATTTATTTTAATCGTGGTTTTATTGATTATCGTCTTTTTGTAGAAACAGAAATTTAATTGCTAAATGCTTAATTGACATTAAAATCGACTATTATAGAATAAACAATTATAATTTTATCACGTAAGAAATATTATATTTTGTGACTAAAGTACTAATACTCTTGCAAAAGTTTTACACAGATAAATAGATAACACAAGTTTAGAATTATATATAATAACGAGAATTTTTCTTTTTTTTCCTCTCTATAATTATAATTATGTAAGTTCTAATAGTGCATGTCGACAGAGATAATTATCTTTAAAAAACAAAAAGGTGAGATTTATCGACTAAGTAGCCTAAATTTATTATAGCTGCACAAAGCGAATTATATAATCTAATGCAGTCGACTAGTTTTATTTGCACCGACGCCGCATATTTCTTAAGGAAAATCATGTTAAATCTCTGTCGTCGTTATTTGTCTGGGATTAATATTTCCTTTTTATGTTGAGACAAAGAAATAATTCTATGTTGCGACATTTGATTAGATTGTTGATTTTATTCTTCTGCGACGTATTTACGTGATATTAATTAGCAAAGTAGAGTCTGATAAAGAAACATGTTTCTGTAAATTTATGTATTTATTAATACCCTAAATTTTTTTATATTTTTGAAATTTTATCTCCTTGTTACTTTTATTTTTATGATAAATTATATATAAATTACGTATAAATTATAGTCACAATAAGGTTTTCTTTTGCAATAATGCTTTGCATTCCAATTATTTTGTTTCTTGTTGATTTCATAATCTATAATAATATTCGTAAAATTTTATATTTTTTTGCTTGCAGGATACATTAAGCTGTTTCTATTAATGGAAAGTCAGGAAGACACCAGGGAACATTTTAAATCAAATAAGATCTGACTTACCCGCAAACCATCTTCTGCATCAACACGATCATGAACGACATATGTTTGAACAGCGTGGTAATATATACATAGTTCCTCCTCGGACACGTCCTCGTACAACATATTAACAGCTTAGCCAGTAAGCCTTTTATATTACATTTTTCCCTCTATGGGGTCTCCTAATCCAATGGGGTAGCTCGCCTTCCTATAATACCAAGGGTGCACGTAGCGAATTCGACCTTGCCCAATGCTTAACCTCGCATACGTCGAAATCAGGCAACCGAAGATTGTGAGTTAAAGGAATCTATTGGAAAAGCAATTTGTAAATAAAGCGGCGTTTTGCGGAGAGAACTTGTAATATTCGAAAATATAATATTGTCCACAAGTGAATTCAATTAAAATTAAAGTGCACGTAATCTTGATATGCTAATCTCACTTTATCGAAGACGTAAAAGATATTTAAATAAAGATTTAACACAAAATATTTTATTTTATGCTATCTATATATTTGAAAATAATTATATTTTTCAAGTATATAAAATATTATCTTTTGACACGCGACAGGTATAGTAATGATAACGCAATACAAGCTTAGACACAGTGTATGTGTTGTAAAGTACCTACACAGTATGTCTCGTAGTATTTATGTTGTTCTTTATAGTAAGTTACACTCCGTATTAGTTTCGACAAATCTAGTTCAGCCGAAAGTTGACAATTAACTGAATAAAACTTTAAGTTTTCTTGCGTGTTTGTGTGTACAATCCCCACTCTTCAATCCCCTCCTCAACGAGCTCGTACGAGTAAGACGTTGTAAACAAATAATATTTATCTTTGTCTGTTTATGTATCTACGAGATCCTATTCTATTCGAAAATACAATATGCTTGTGAAATACAATCCCCACTCTTCAATCCCCTCTTTAACGAACTCGTACGAATAAGACGTTGTAAACAAATAATGTTTTTATTTGTCTGTTATCTACGAGATCCTATTTTATACCAAAATACACATATATTTTATTTTTAACGAATTTTTCTACATATTGGATATGCTATAATAATTATCCAGCGCATCTCTCCATATCTTAAAATTATATATAATACTTTCATTATAAATGTCTATAAAGTTTACTTGATAAAATTCCATAATTTAAAAGAAGACTTTCAGAAATTTTTCTTTCATGAGATTTTTCTTTTATATGTATGCACGTTCTATATGTATGGAAAAATATATGATACCTATAAATTTTACCATGAACTCTTTCGCAAATTCGTTTTTTCTTTTCAAAACGAGAGAAATATTAGCACTTTTCCGTCGAATGATCGGAAATCAGATGAAATAATATGAAATAGTATATAATCTCGCAGACGTCTCGCGTCGATAAACCGCGGGATTAAAACTTGTAAATAGGATGCGCGGCACCGATCGCCACCCTAATTTACTCTGCGCCCATGATTCTCGCGCCGATATCCCATCACGCGTCAATGGCTTTCTCGTGTGCGCAACGCAACCCGCCGAATCGAACCTCGGCGGAATCGTTCTGGCCGATATAACTGCTTCCTCTGACTTGACTTTGTGAGCATTTCACGCCCGCAGCTCCAATTAACTAGAATGACTGACCGCGCCGCGCCGTCGTAAATCTGTTGCCCCGCCGAAGCGCGCCGAAAGCGCATTAACGGTACGGACATAAGTTTAGCGGCAGGTCCGTGTTTGCCAGGGGCGCACCCTGGCTGGGGTCGGCCCATTGTTTGCCCCGAAACGCACGCAACACGGAATCATCCCTTGACGCGTGACTTACGTGCCCGTAAAGCCAAACACACCACGGGATGTATCGCGCGCGCGAGCGCGCGCGTGCATACCCACGGGGATGTAATTTTTTTTCCCGATCGTACAATCGACAGCGAGGATTTTCTCTCTTACGCGCCTTTAAATTTCACCGATGGAATTTTTAGCGGGATAATTTTCATTCAATTCTCAACGCGATATCATTAGATCTTACATGATCAAAAGCAATAATGTGAAAATGTAACGTTAATTAAAAGTTGACAAAACACTTATAGAGATAAAACTGTATTGGTCATATATTAGTAATGAATATTATAATATGTAAAATAAGCTTTTATATATACTATGTAAATAAAAATTCGATAAATTCTACGAAATTAGAACTGATTACAGCGCAATGTTATAAATATTTTTCTTCTAACAGTCTTAAAATATTTTTAACAAAAATTCAATAAATCCGGAATCGCGGAAGTCAACTATATTTTTGACCAAGAAAGCGTTTAACGCCGAAAAGGAACATCAGAATGCAGGGAACATTACATCGGCGCGCGATGGGATAGAGGAGAGTTTGAAGATATGAAAGGGCGGTAATAAATCTTTAGCCGGGACTTAAGTTCCGGAGTAAATCTTGCCACGTTTTAGCAGTAAGTCCAGAGCTCACTGCGAAAAAGGATCAAGCATACCGACTTGCCGGATAACGTCCTGCATGTCGTCGCTTGCTACGATGTCGCTAACGGCGGCTGCGTAGTCCACGAAAGGTGCTAAATCCACTTGCGACAAGTTTAAAATCGACTCCTCCGCCCATACTGATGTGTTTTGCTTTAATCCGCAACAAAAAAAGAGCTGACCCCAGCGCGATTCACAAGAGATTACTGCGAATTGATCTATTTAACACTCTTTTTTTATGATTATATGCATTCATTGTATTAAAATCATTGTATGCTTGAAAAAAATGTATCGATCTTTTTACTTCCTAAATTAATTGTAATTTTAAATAAATTTCAAAACAGCATGTATAAATTTATCACTATTTATATTTATTTACATATCCGTATCTAATTTTTAATCCATGATTTTTTTTTTAAAATTGCTAATGAGTGTGGTGTGGCATCTCTCTCATCTTTTTATTGCGGCAAACAGTCGGCAAAAAAGATACGTGAAAATATACTCAATAGAAAGTTGCGTGAGAGTGGTGGACGGAAGGAGAGAAACTTTGGCCAGACTAGAAGAGAGAGCAGCATGATTTAGATATCGCCTTCTTGTGGTAATCAATTTCCATTAACAAAGTCTCAGCGCTGTTAGAGAGAAAGAGGACTGCAGGTGAGGGGATTCGAGAAGCAGAACCTGAAAACGGAGGGAAAGAAAGTACGGAAATAAAAAGCGTAGCTTGCGAGACATCGTGCTGTAATGAGGTCTTGTAAATTTTTATCTTAAGAAATCATTGCCATCCGAGAGACGGAGAAATTCTTTTCTTTAAATACTCTGTCAGTTTCAGTAATTGCAAGCCGTAACGAAGCAATTGTGCAATTGCACTCCATGAACGAGATACAAGAATAGATTGGGGAGGACGGAGGGAGGGGCGAGGAGGGAGCGACAAATGTAATAATTTTTAAATGCGAATAAATAAAAGGTAAAATAAACAACATATTAAAATACATTTTCTTATTGTATTAAATTGTTATCGCAAACGCATGTAGCTATTATCTTGAATTTTATATATTTGTGAAGTAAGATGTTCATGTCAATGGTATGAAAAATTACACGTAGAATACGTACTATTAATACATTATTGAACAGTCATGTTCTTTTCCCCCCATTTTTCGGGATAGCAATAAACAAATCTTGGATATAAAGAGCAAAGTGTCGTTTCCAAACTTCCCAGTTAAATTCCGCCGAGAAAATTGAAAAACTTCTCGGTAAAATTGTCCCGCCACTACACGACTTGCACTAAACTTAACCACCTCGTGCTCAATACATTCTAAAAACTAATTAAACTTTGGACATACACACAAAGAGTCCCCGGCACAAGTTTCTCCTGACCAATCCTGCGAGGTGGATTAAGCGGTAGCTTTCAAAACTAAATGTTTAATAAAAAAAGTACATATAAGAATATTTAAAAAAAGGGGTATATATATATATATATATCTATATGTCTGGTATAATATATCAACTTTTGAGTCTAATTTTTAAGGCATTTAACTTGTTACACGACATGTTAACTATTAAATATGCGTGATCTTTAGCTAAATCTAAAAATATAGAACAGATCAATTATTTATTTTATTTAATATACAAAACAATGTGATAAATATCAACCAATTCGAAGAAGTTCGTTGATTCGCATTCCTCTTCTACAATAAACCTGTAAATTGTTGTATCCGAATTGTTTTATAGTACGATTCTAGTGTGTCAGAGTGTTTTATAAATATTTATTGTATAAACTATAGCTATCTTATGAATGTGATAGCTTTCACGTGGTATTAAACGGGACGAGAAATACATGGCTCTCTTATGAGTGAAGAAGCGAGGCAGACGCGATAAATCGGCCGAAATTCGCGGATGGCTTTCGCATCGCCGGTTCGGCAATTAAGCAAAAGCCGGCGCTATCGAGTGGCAAAATATTTGCAGAAATGTGGCATCGCCGATAACGGTTGGTAACTCGTTGGCAGCCGTACTAGGAATGTGAGATATGGGTGGAACTCGATCGACATCCAAATGAAGCATGCTACAGAGTCGGCAAGTGCCTGGCTGGATATTATAGACCTGTGAACGAGGCTGAGGGGTGGTTTCGCGCTAAATTGAAACGCTCGAAGGTAACGTCTAATGAAAGCACAAGCGCGGGAGCTAATATCCACCCCACTAGAATGTAATAATTTCAGAATGGTACTTCAGAGAGAGCTGTACTTGTGCAACAAAGGTTAACCACGCGAATAGCTATTCGCGATCGCGTAGCGAGAAATCGTCAGAGTTATAGAGAAAGAGAGAGAGAGAGAGAGAGAGAGAGAGAGAGTCCGGCGGGGAAAGTATCAAGCCAGGTGCGCGATTTATATCACGAGTTACCGAACCGGATGATCCGCGTGCGCGTTACGTCCGATACGCTACCGGGAATAAGGATTATTGCGATTGAACCGGAAGATGAGTCTCGTGCGACCTTTTTGATATCAGTTACGGATTCCCGGGAGTGAAATCGTCGACACAAGGCAAAAGTTTGGACCTATTTTAGGATCTGTTTTAAGGTAGACGACAGGTCTAACAAGACGATCAAATATGCATTCAAGCTATGTAGCCATTTAGATTTAGTTAAATGAAAAAATCTATGATATATTGATTAAGAGAATTAAATTTATGTCTTATATCAAGAATAAGACAGAGAGAGAATCTCTCAATTTTCATATAATTAAGTGGAATAGGACATTGCATAATTTTCGTCATATAATTCGTATACTTAATAAGCTTAAAGAAAAAGAGTAATCATTTTAAAAATAATGTTTGAATTCTTATTTTATCTTATTATTTAGCATATTGCAACATAACTGTTTCTGTAATAAATACACAAATATTTATTCAAATATTGCATTTCCATTTTATAGAAAAAAGAAGAAATAAGCGTGCTTAAAATATTCATCAGAGAGTTAGTGAGTATTTTATAGTATCGCTTACATTGGCAGAAAAAATTGAGGCGTCTTTAAAATATTGAATTCCATTGGTTCGGAAGAATAAGCGGATTATATGATGTAACTCAATGAGATTTTCAAGAAGGTACTTCTTTATAAATTAGAGATGTACTGAAACATCAAGATATATATCTGAGATATATCTCGGCGCACCTATGACATTTTCCTGGACGCACGTAATTTATCTGATGTCAAGACGTTGCTGAAAATAAAGTGAACAGCATACAAAATGTATTTATTTGCAAATGTAAAACCAACTTTTACGCTACATACATAATTTAACTATCGTTCCCAGCTTACATTATACCATCACATAATTCGTCATGATACGAATTTAAAATATCTCTCGATAAACTTAATTAATTTTAAATAATAATTATAATTTGAATAAGGATAGATTACTAGATTACCTCAGAGATTATTTCTTTGAATTATATTTTACACATATATATTGTTTTTAAAGGTAAAGATCTTAATTTTATTTATTTATTTATTTACCTTAATCTTTAAGGTAAAGATCTTAATTTTAT